CGTCTCACGGTCCGGGAGTCTTGAGTCCATTGCCACTCATCTGGGTCCAGGGGGAGGTCCTAGATCGGGATCATTGGGCGATACACCCTCTGGTGACATCCTTCATCAATGACCCTGATGCGATAAACACCCTTTCGCTCTTTCCATATGAAGGGTTGTTGGTTCCACTGTAATCTATCATCCTGCTAATAGTATCTTCATTCCTCATTAAGGGGAAAAGGGAAATCAGGATCCCAGCCGACCACTACTAGTAGTGAGTTATTTTTCTTGCCCAAAAATTGGGGAAGATCAGTGATGTAACCTTTCACGTGGGCTAGGTTCTCTAGGTCTCTCAATATGGCTCCTTGCACACAGAGGGGTGCGAACCTGAATTCCACCCAAAAGATAGATCTCATTAGGTATTCACGCCTTTCATCGGTCGAAAGGGGGTTAGTCGGGAACCAGGCTGACACCTGGACCGGCATATTCCTAAACTGCAGCACCTTGTCTTTTAAGAGGATGTGTTTGTCCGTTGTGTACAAGGCCACCACCGTGATGCAATCAGGGCTCTCCACCTCAAGGAGGAAGTGCTCATGCACGAATTGTTTGTCAGCTTTGATTTTCCCCAACCTTTCCATGATCCATTTGATCTTTTCGTTGATCGGAAGTGATGACAGAGTCGCCGGGAAGCGGAATTGCACTGCCTTGTGTGAGTAGATTGTGTTGTGCATGGCTATGGCCTGGGTGGGGAAGATGGCATGGGGATAGATATATCCTTCCTTTACCTGGAATTTCTTTTCCGTCTCCACATACAAATGCTGTATGAAGTGGCTCTTAAACCACCAGGACTTCCTGAAAACGCTCCCGTATACGCAGAGCGAAATTTGGAATGAACGGGCCTGGGCCGGTAGGCCCGATTCAGCCAAGTCGAAACGACACGGTTTCCACTTTTGGCTGGCCGTATACGCGAAGCGAATTCAGGAAGTACTGGTGGTTTAAGGGGAGCCATGGGTGCCACCGTCGACATTCCTCGGGGGTTATTTGCTTCAGGGGCAGACAGCGCTTTGAGCAGCTTTGGTCGGGCGTTCTTGGTATCACTCGAGGATGCTGGACTGCCAGCGGGGGGGAGGTCACCTTTGGGTGCTTCCTTCGGTCTGGCTACTTCATCCCTCCAAGTCTTATCTTCCTTATCCCCCATCTTGCCCCCTCCCACTGGCACTTGGCAGAGATCTGAAGAGTTCGCGATCGTATCCCCAGATCACAGATCAGTGTGCAGTGTACAGACCGACGTGACGTGCTTGGTGGGTTCGACAGTTCCCAACTCTGCTTATGCCCTGCATTCCAGCCGGCGGTCTTCCAATTATGCACGTCAAGGAGGGCAAGTAGTTTGGTGGTTGATTTGTTGATTAATTGGTGGCCCTTTGTAAAACCACCAATGCTGCCCACGTATTGGGCTTTGTAGAATTGTGTAGAGAGGTGAAAGATCAGGTGAGGGACGCTGGACCCGCTTTCCAGCAGGTGACGCTCCCCACCAATAGATGGAGTCCCCCCAGTGCTAGTGATGAATGCTCTTATCAGCATCACTAGCACACCAGGTACGTTGTATTCGAAGACAACGTACGTACGTTGTACAACGAATATTGGGGTACAACTTTTCCAGGGCAAAGATACGAAAAATTTAAAAAATTAGTAAAAGAAAAAAATATGAAAAATAAGAAAAATGAAAGAGGGGGAGCATGGTATCTGGCGTGTCGGGAGGTTAAAATGCAAAACGAGAGTGAATCTTGGCTAGAACATGGAAAGATACAGCGCCACGAGCTTTTCTTTTTTTTGGGCAACGGGGATACAGGGGCCGCCCAAAGAGATACACGGGCCAGGCCTTTTTCCAAAAAAAAAAAGAAGAAACAAGAAGAAAAAACGAAATGCTCGTGGCGCTGTATCTTTCCATGCTCTAGCAGAAGATTCACTCTCACTTTCCACGATCGAAATGTGGAAAACGAGAGTGAATCTTCGCTAGAACATGGAGAGATACAGCGCCATGATTTTATTTTCTTTTTTGGCAACGGGGATACAGGGGCCCAACGAGATACACGGGCTGACAACAACGCAGAGGCCCTAGAGGATACACGTGCTGAAAACAACACAGTTTCTTTTCTT